TTACTGTTATGGAGAATATTATCCGTAGTACGATTTTAATACTTATTTAGTATTGTGATATATCGATTACAGAAATTGGTTCTAACATTATCAGTATCTATTTTAAACAGAACAAATAATTATACATATATATTTTTAAGTCGAATTTATAACATTGCCTTATACCACAAAAACTTCAATCCTCCTCGAATCATATTTAGATGATTGAAAGGATTAATTAAGAAGATTTTTTAATCTTTGATAATCTAGAGAATTGGAAAGATTTAAATGAATAAGTAAAAAATAAGATACTAAATATTGGATGATACGGAAATAAAAATTTAAAACAGATATTTTTATCCAAGTTGTGAAAAAATTTTTCGTTACGAATTTCATTTGATTTTTCCGAAGTGAAGTTGTAAAAAATTATAGGCTATGCCGAGGGAGCACAAAGAAATAAACCACGGATAGTTATCTTGAAAGTATACAATTGAAATCTTTATGACTCGCATATGACTCAACGATGACCAGTTGTGAATTAAGTACAAGTTTCATAATCCATTTAACGTTTCGTTCATAAATCTCGATTGATACCGAGTGAAAAAAATATTTGCAACAATTTGAATTAAGTTATTTAATTCAAGAATATCATATTTAATTTTATATTTGCACGAAATAACACTTTTAATAATACACATATGTTGTATATCTTTAAATAACAAACATATGTAAAAATTTTCAAAATTTTAATAAAGAGTTAACTTTAATTCTTTACCCAATCCATCTCTACTAATAATCGATCATGGATCATAAAACGATCGAAATTTAAATAAATTCGTAATCGTACGAATTTCAAAAAAATTCATTATTATATCAGGTTTTTTTTATAAATCTTTTACAGTTGTGTTGCATAGCGGGTACCGCGATATACATGCGCCCATTGGAACCGTATCTCGACGCTCCGATATTTGGTATTTTGGTACCGACTTTTATAACGGGCTACATCATCGTCCACTCGATCGAAATTTTCACCTTGATCATGAATAAGGAGTATGTCTTTCTCGTGAGTAAGTGGAAAGTGAAATGTAAAAAAAACAGATCGAGTAAAA